CACACGCACACATAGAATCTACAAATGACATACTTCTCAAGTACTTTTCTAGAATCAAAGACATTTCAAAAAGTGTATAGTCCAAGTTTATTCCTTGGATTTTTCAGGCCTGAGGCAAATATCGAGGCCAGGATTAAATGAACACTAGATGTAACCTCTGAAGCCAAAGGAACTCCAAGGAGAAGCTTGAGATGCACATAAAGAGTGGGAATCACATCATTTAGCCAGACTGAGAAGGTGGGCCTTAGTTACTCACACCAGTAGCTTTGTCCCACACCAGAAGCTGAGTCATCTTCTATTCTCAAGCCTTCCCTCCTACTGCCTCCAGCTCCTCAGATCTTCCCAGAAGGACTCAGAAAAACTCCCAAATTGCTCTATCCTGAGGTAGCTCTACCCCATCTGCATAAATTCCCTCTGTGAAATTTAAGTTGAAATAACTTTTCCTAGTGATGATTTGTCCTTCCAGTTTGAAAATGATCAACATCTCTTCTCTCCTTTCTTTTCTTCCCAACTTAATGCCTTATCTTTCGCCCGTTTTGTTAAGACTTACCATGTAGAATTAAATAATAAAGCCATGATAATTTATGAATGAAAGAATGACCAGTGAGTATATTGTGGTCTGTGTGCCAATGAAAGAAAGAGATGTCCAAAGAGAGATGAGTCATAGGTCAGAGAAACAAAAATAGAGTAAATTAGCGAATCTTAGAATATAGGCCAAGAAAGAAATTTAGCTCTTAGTATTTTCCCATTACCTCCTCCTCCCCTCTTTTCTTAAAAGTTAAGGAGACATTATTTTAAAAGTTAAGGAGACATTATTTATTTGTATTATCCCAGCCAGCCAGCAGGAGTCTGTTATCGGGTAAGGATTTTTTTTTCCTATGGTTTTTGTAATGAAAGTAACAAAACCCAACTCTACACAGCCTAAGCAAAAGAAACAAAGAAGATGGGGGCTGGACGCGGTGGCTCGCGCCTGTAATCCCGACACTTTGGGAGGCCGAGGTGGGCGGATCACCTGAGGTCAGGAGTTCAAGACCAGCCTGGCGAACATGGTGAAACCCCATTTCTACTAAAAATACAAAATTAGCCAGGCATAGTAGTGTGCGCCTGCCATCTTAGCTACACGGGAGGCTGAGGTAGAAGAATTTCTTGAACCCAGGAGGTGGAGGTTGCAGTGAGCCAAGATCGCACGCACCATTGCACTCCAGCCGGGGCAAAAGGAGCGAAACTCCATCTAAAGAAAAAAAAAAAAGACCGATGAGGAGGGGACTTACTGGTTTAAATCACCAGGAATTCCAGAAGTGTGTATTTGTTTAAGCATAGCAGGAGCCAGGCATTTGAGCAAAGTTATCAAGGCTCTTTGTCCTTCTTTCCATATTTTAGCTCTACGTGCCTTTGGTTGTCTTTATTTTCTCAATTTTCTTTGCTATAGCCGGGCTTCCTCTCTACTGAAAACATGGTTACCTGAGGATCTGAGCTTATAGCCACAGAAACTGAAATCCTTAAGAAAGAGAAACTTCATGGAAAAGGTTTGATTGGCTGTGCCCATTTTTTGAACAATTTACTGTGAGCAAGAGGATCCAGTACCATGATTGATCAGGTAGTCCTATGTCCACCCCTGTAGCCAGGGAGCAGGAGGGCATCAAGTATGACAGCCCCTCAAAATCACAGGGACAGAAAGCCATTCCCCAGTGAGCACACAAAAATGACAGACATCCACTTCATTTTCCTCATATTATTTTTAATTGATTCTTAGGACTAGGCTTTTCCATTCCGATTGTGCACTACAGGACCTTTTGATTAGCAAGGGGGAAAATAGAAATATACTGCAACATGGGAAACCTAATTTTATTTTCATCCTTTCCTGTTTTAAAGGGCTGGATTATCAGCTCAGAGGGAAAGAGCGCATTATTTGCAGGTACCAGATAATGTTTTTTCTCCTTACTATCCTATGCACTATGTAATTATGTGGGGAATAACAGAAGCACTGGTGTTGTTTTATACTTAGAAATATGTGAAATAAAGTGACAAAATAGATATCTGAGATATCTGAGGTATTTGCAAATACATTTATTTCCCCTAGATATAAGGTCAATATAAGGTACACTCAAACGATTTGACAATACAAGCAAGTTTTGAAGATGAGTTACTCTTTTAAATTTTATTATAAAATTTTCCATCAATATGCCAACTTCATCAGTTTGCTGTCATCCTTGCTATCAAGAAACAAAAAAGTAGATTAATAGCCAGAAATTCATATCGGTTAATCTTTTTGATTCAACTATCCCTGATTTCAGTCTTTGAAGTATGTTTTCAGTTTTTGCAGTCATCAAAACAAGTGCCCGCAAACATTTTCAGATGAAATAAATCAATATTTTGGTCGTCTTCTTCAAGAAATTGCCAACTCTTAGGAATGGTCATTTTAAGGAAGGAGCTGCCCTCAGCCAGTCCTAAATTATTCTTTTCATTTGATCTAACCACACTTAGTTTAATCTGTCTATCTTCTTCAAATATAATTATTTGAAGAATAATTCAATCCCCACTCCAGCCTTTATTCATTATCCCAGCTTTCTCCAAAAATTACCTACTCTCCCACTTTGCCTCTACAATATTGCTCCAGCATCTCTTCCTCCATGGTACAATTGTATGCCGGAGGCTCTCCGGAGCTGATTGTGCACATCTCTTCTCAATGCAGCCTCCGGTGATGTCATGTTGGCAGCTTGAAATCTGCCACTGTGGCATTATTTGTGCCCTGCAGAAATTGGAAATTGTCAAATACTACAAGTAAAGGCTTTTTCTCTGAGTGCTGGTTGTTAAATATTTATTAGCACAATACTGTCCATGGAGCTAACTTTTGTCTTCACTGGCCACTCTACCAGCAGCAACATAGTGCATAACAGCCTGAGTTTGGTGTCAGATAAACTGGAGTTTGAGTTCTGGCTTACCTACTTAGAATTTGTGTGACACTGAAAAAGTTATTTCACCTCTCCAAGTCAGTTTTCTCAAATAAAATAATACATGCAAAGTCACTGGGACAGGAAAGTGCTGATTAACCTTAGTTGTTTCTCAATAGTTCTTAATCCTTCATGTCTAAGCCATGGAAAGTTTCGATTATCTATGGCTGCAGTTGCATGTTATATTTGCTCTCTCCTTCACCATTAAAACCCCTCAAGTTTTAAAAAAGATCATCATCATATTTTGTTTAGTGTGTTTGGTAGGCAATGAATCCATATTAAATTCTGCTTTAGGGCATATTGGTAGAGTAAGCAGACAGTCAGGCATGTGTGCCCAGTGATGCTTGAAATGCATTTAACAGAGTATAAAGATATCAATGACTAGTGAAGAGAACAAGAGATTAAGAGCAAGGATCCCTAAATTTCAATCTCAGCACACGGCATATAAAAACTACACAAATTCTGGGATTAGATAACTATAATTTTAAATCCCTGTTCTGTCTCTATCCGTGTAGCCTTCATCAACTTTTTGACTTTAGCTTCCTCTTCTGTTGAGTGCAGTTAACAGTAGCTTTGTACTTACCCTGAAAAGTCGTTATGTGGGTCAAATGTATAAAAGAATGTTAAATGTGTGAATAGTAGTCTCTGAATAAAAGGTGGCTATTATTCTTTCACTAGTTGATTGCTTGGTTTAATCTTCGTAAGCTTCATAGACTTTAACTATACCTATAAAAGTAAGAGGGCTGGTTTGGTGCTCTCTTAAGAGGCCTCCTTGTTCTGAATGAAATTCTTTGTACCTAAAGGCTTTTATTCTAGAAACAGAAGTCTTAATGCCAATATTCTTTGGAAAGCAAAAATCCCTTTTTTCCAGTTCCACTACTCCCAGCCCAGGCCCTCATCACCTCTCATGTCTATACAGCAAGTTTAAAACCAGTGTTCCTGCCATCTGGCTCTTCTCTTTATTCTCCAGACCTCCCCTGCTTATCTTAACACAGACAGACAGACAGACAGACAGACAGACAGACACAGACAAATTTGATTATGTCACTTCCTTTCTTTAAAATCTCTGCTGGAGTCATTTAATCTTCACAATGAAAGCTACACTTAATAGCAAAATCTATAGAGTCCTTGACATTCTTGCCCCTAGTTGTATATTTGCCCCTTTTTGGTTTCACAAAACATATCACAACACTCTGTCATGAACTTTACGCTTCACTCACTGTTTTCTAAACATAACATGGCAGCCTTTCTCAACTGTTTAATTACATATGTGGTTCCCTCAGCCTGAATGTACCTCCCACTCCCATCCCTTTGACTGGGTTACTCCCACTCATATTTCAAGACTCACCTCACATGTCAAATTGTCTGTTAAGCCTTTCCTGATCCCCCCAGGCAGTGTTAGTCACTGCTGCCACTGTATTTCTACAGCTTTAGCACTTATCTCTTTGATATATTTATCTGTTTACAAGTGTGACTCCTCCACTAAAACAGTGACTCCTTAAAAGGGATGTACCACAAGTCCGGAGTCAGACTATCTGGTTTACAACCCCCTGCATCAACACATTAGATGTTTGAGTTTGAGGAAGCTTCTTAGCTTCTTTAATCCTCAGTTTTCTCAGCTACAAAATGGAACTAATATGCTGCTGATCTCAGATAATCCTTATAATATTGAAATGAAAAAAATGCATGTAAAGCTCCTACCTCAATGTCTGGCATATATTAAGGGCTTAGTTAATATTACAAAAAATGATGATGATAAAGATGGCTATAATGGAAGAGATAGTAAAGCAGGGGGAGGAGAGAAGGTGATGCAATAGAAACCTCATTTATGTCTTTGCCACCTTGGCCTCTTTCCAATGTCTAGCCTGTAGTAAGTGCTCAGTGCATGTTTGCTGAATGAATTCTTGTGTGATACAACTTTACAACACAACCAAAATGTCAAATTCCAGCTCTTCTCTCATATCTGATTCAATGAAGTTGAATTAACTTTTGGAATACCAGAAACTCAAGTTCTAACAAAGAGGAGAAATTAGATGAGGAAAAAAGAATATGGGGGAGAGAAAATGGCAAGAGCTGGGTTTGAGGTGCAGAATATAAGTATAGAAGTCAAACTATTCTCTTTCACAGCTTTGCCTCAGCATTTTGGTTGTTTTTATTGCTGGGGACTGAAATAGGCTTTAAAGAAAAGAGTGAAGATGTGCAGATTCCAAATCTAGACAGCAGCCCCATCATAGGCACCAACCCAGGGTCTAAAGACAGTCAAAGCAAAATTCCTTTGATGTGCTCCGAGAGCCTGCAGGCAAAATAGTAACTCAGCAAGGGGTTGGAATGCAAGTGGCATGGAATGAAAACGTGTTTTCTTGTTACAGGGTAGAAGAAGGGAGGGAAAGACAAACCTCACCAATTAAAGAAATCCTTGGATGGAAAGGATTGGAACATTGGGAATGGAAGTCCGCATTAGCGGAGTAGTATGTTCTGAAGGCATTTGAGCAGATGAAAACCTGATACACGGGACATAAAACCTGAGGAAGATTATTTCATGGGTACGGTAGAAACGGTGTCGGAGAGAGTAAATTGGGCAAGGGAGAAGAACGGCGGAGAGGGAGAGGGAAGTGCTGCTGAACTTATTTCAAAGAAGAAGAAGAAGAAAATGGTCTCTTGTTTTTCATTAAATAATAGATACTCTCCAGGCCAGAGTCGCGGCTGATTCTGTTTTGCGCTCAGTGGAGGAAAAACCAAACCAAACCAAAAAACAAAACGGGAAAAGATGAGCGTTTCCGTTTCCTCCTCCCTTCCTCCAACCGAGGTCTTCCTTCAGCCCCAGGGCCCGCGAGGGGGAGGCCTTTTTCCTCAGCTGCCCGAGACTTGCGTCCTTCCGGGGCCCGGAGCAGCCCGAGTTGCGTTTGGTCCCGAGATTGGACAGACAGGGAAGCTGGTTCAGCCTCTCTCTCCCTGGTTTTCTCTCTCCCTGGTTTTCTCTCTCCGCTTCCCTCCGCTCCTCTTCTCAGCGGGCACTTGCTCTCTCGCGTATCTCCGAACCCAGCGGTTCGGAGCAAGGGCCGTTGATACTTCTGGGGGATTGGGAGGCTTCCAAGTGGTACCCCAATCCTTCCTCTACAAGGAACCGTGTCTTTATGAGCGGAGAGTGATTTCGATGGCCGAGGACCCTTGTCCTGCATCCCGCGGAGCCGACCCAGGACCGCTGGGTGGGCGGCGCTCTAGCCCTGGACGCGCTGTCTCCGGAGCCTTCCAGGAGGAGGCTGGGGCACCACCCGCCGCTGGGAAAATTATGGCTCCTGCCTTGTATAGAGGAGATCTTGGTCGGGCTGTGGTCCACGCAGATCGTCCTGGGATTCTGTTCCTCCAAGTGAAAGGTCAAAGTTCTGCCTTGTTAATAAATCATAAGCCGCTGACTCATTTCAGGGAAGTGGACAGACTGACTTAGGTAGATGAGTGTCACAAATATGTTAAACAAAACTAGCAAATACAGGCCGGTCTCTTGCCATTATCGTTGGCAAGGCGAAGTCCAAGGTTTTCCCATATATTTTCCTGGGGATATTCCTCGTACCTTCCACCCCAATCAACCTGTATTATAAATGGCATTGTATTTTTGATAGTGTTGTTTAGAAACGATGATTGCACTTAAATCAACAATCTAAACCTACATTAAATTAAATACAACTGTTTTTAGTTAAAAAGAAATCCTCAGCAATCAAGAATGCATAACTTCGCAAAGGCTAATAATTGAATTGCTCCTCTAGAAACTGTGAACAGGGTTGTGAAATGCATGACTACAGCTGAGTAGATTGCACAGTGAAAGGTCTGTTCAAGTCTTAGGGCTTCTGGGGGAGTGTTTTGTGTTTAGGTGAGAATGCTGATCTCTGCACAATTGATACATAGAAAGTAATTGAATTGATGTGGGAAACAAAATCATAAGAAATCCTTTGGCAATATCTGAAAGGTAGCATTTAATTCTCTGTCATTCAAGAAAAAGGAGCAGTTCAGCTTTCAAAATGTATCCACATTATACAGTCAGCCAATAAAGTATAATCCCCATTCAAGCTATTAGAGTACAACATAGGGTGACAGTGGGATTTTTAGCTTGGTTAAAGCAAATAAAATACTGTAGAAGGAATGAAATCAAACTTGTTGAAACTTGGATTTGCAGAAATATAAGGCAGCTTGGAGAAGATGAATTCAGGTGGAAAATGACCTTTTGATTATGTTCAGGAAGACATTAGAATGTCAGGAGAAACGCTGGAAAGGAGATTTATTACCATAAGCACAGTTGACAAGTTCCATTTTGTCAAGTCTCTTGGATGGAGGAAGGAAACCAGCATTTCAGGAGGTGATTAAAAGAGCTCTGCAAAGTCTTCAGTAATCCAGGGAGACCCAAATACAGAAGAATTCTCTTGCCCCTAGTCTCTTTAGAGACTCGAAGAACCCTATTCTTGGGTTTCCACCACAGATATGCTTATTCCTTGTCAGAAAGTTTGTACTAGATACATTTTATGAATTATAAGATGGATTGGACCAACATATGTGTGTATCTTACTTTAAATAGAAAATTTCTCCCATCCCCTCTTCCTTATTTCTCTTTCTCTGTATTTGTATTTTTACGTAAGTATATGTGTATACATGTGTGACTATATATGTATATATGTATAAATATATAAATATAAATTTATATACTCTTTGCATATACTCTTTTACATTTTGAAGTCTGTGTTCACATTCAATGATTCATTGGAGACACACATCCACTTTTTTGTGGCCAACAGGTCTAATATTAGAATTTCCATTTTAAAGATGAGGAAATGAGGATAAAATAAGAGAAGTGATGTGTCTAATGTCCTTTTCATTTTGCTACAAGACCTTTCACAATATTTGTGATTCATAAGCATGAATAAATCCACGTGAGCCTCAACACATTCCCCTTTCATGACCATTTTCTTTCTCTTCTTTTCAATTTACATATTTGGTTAAAATCCTGTACAATTTCAATAATTCTGCATATATACCAACTTTCTTTGGTTTATTTTTCTCATTAGCCCTTATGACTATTTAATATACCTTAAATTTTACATATTCATCTGTTTTGTGTATGCCTTTCTGCCACAGAAAATACACTCAAAAATATAGGAAATTATTTTTAGAGGTAATTATTTTTAGGGGTAGGGGAATACTATTTTCTGCTGTGCCTCCAGTGTCTAGAAAAGTGCTTCACAAATAGTAAACACTCCATAAATATCTGTTAAATCAAGCTGTGCATGAATGACTCCTTACAAATTGTCCATTTGGATCTAATTACCATCTTTCTGCCAATGCATTCTGTAAGGAAAGAGTGGTATTAATTACTTGCAAGAAAAACAAAGTAAGCTCATTGCTAGACTCTTGATACCTGATGGGGAAAATGAAATTCTTTCTTTGTTTTCCTTAGTTCTTTCTGACTATTAACAAAATACAGTGTTTGGAACCTCATGTGACATGGCCAAATGATGCTTCTGCTAGGGCAAGAAAATTTTTTATGAGTCTCATGTCTTTACTGTCTCCTACTCCCCATCACCTCGTTCTCATGTGTATGTAAACTTCAGGCAATATCCCTTGTCTACGACCAGCCAGGAATGTATTTTTCCTGGACCAGTGCCTTGCACTTACAATCTTTCCAGACTTTTCCCTTCCTCATTAAGTTTTACCTGTTCCTTTTCCCATTTCTTCCACTGTCTACTTTCCTTATTGTTTTAGCTTCCAAGATAATACATTTCAATTTTGTTAGAATCAAGTAGCCTCAGAATTGGATGGACACACAGTACGGTTTCTCTCCCAGTACAGCAAATCTTTTTTTATAGGATTGACAAGTGAGAAGCAGTGTGGGTGAGAGCTCACTCTCTGGACACAAGACAGATGTGGTTTCTGCCTTTTACAAAGGCAATTATTTAACCTTTTAAACTTCAGACTCTTCATGTAGAGAATAATGACAAAACAGTTCTCATCTCCTAGGGCTGCTGTGAGGGTTAAATGGGAAAATACAGTCAGAGTGCATGGAATAATTCCTTGTCAGTAGTAAGCACTAATAGATATTAATTAATACTGGTAACATCCTTGATACATTATCTTTCAGATTCCATTTCAGTGTCATCAGTATTGGGGAAGCAGACCACTACTTTCTTGAGTTAATCAGTTCTTGGTAAGACAAATCGCCCAACTGCTATTAAGATTCTTTGTAATAGCCCAAATCTATTTCCTTATAACTTCCATCCATTGGTTCTTGGTGTTTACTTAGAGAAATATAGACCAAATGTGTGTCATCTCTTTGATAGGTCAACGTTTAAGATTTTTAAACAGAATTATTATGGCTTATCAACATCTACTCCATTGCAACCTAAGATTTCCCAATCACATCAACTGTTGTATATGTGTGTGTGTGTGTGTATATATATATATACACACACACACACAAAAATATATATATATAGTGGTTTCCCACCCTGACACCAACCTGACTGCTCCTCTTGTGATAAACTCCAGTTTACCTATGGGCCTCTTCAAGAGTAGCACTGAAATCTGATGCAAGAACCCAATTGTTATCTAATGAGTACAAGCCACAGGGGAGATATTATCTCTCAAGTTCTGGACATTGTATTCTTAATGGAAGCTGAGATCTCATTAGATTTCTTAGCAACCTTATCACACAGTTGGGGGCATGTCTAGCTTGTCAACCAAAAGTTAGAACTCCATGTCTCTTTCACATGAATCACTGATAAACTAGCCTGTTCTGTACATGAGTAACTAAGAATGTGTCTAACACCAAGGTCTAGCATTTTTTCCCACTAAATCTCACTAAGGAAACTTCTGGAGACAATACCTTCAACCTGCTCTTCACAGACTTTATTTTTCCCTTTCAATACTTATGAATGATGGTATTCACAAAAACTACAAATGCCCATAGGCACACCCATGATTATTTGGAATTCTCATCTGCCAGTTGTAACTCCACCCTTTACTCTTCTGTGGAAAAAAAGCATATCAGAACTCAAATGAGTCAACTAATGAACTAAATTCAAAAAGCAATGGCCTAAAGCTTTTTGAAGAACTTAAGTGAAAATCTCTATTATATTGGGGAAGAAAAGAATTTCTTATGCATTGTCAAAACAAGAAACAAGGCACAAAAATAAAGAAGAATCTAACATATTTGACTTCATTCGGATAAAAATATCACCAATATATCATAAAGAGAATGAAACATATTTGCAAAAAATGTAATGGACAAAAGACTAGCTCATTCACCCAAATTATAAAGAACCCTTCTAAATTACTAAGGAAAAGATAATCAAATAGAGAAACGGCCCAAAGACTAAAACATGTACTTCATAGAAGAAGAAATCAAATCGAGCAAAAATCACGTGAAAAAGATTAGCAGTCAGGGAAATGTAACTTAACACTCAGTGAGATAGCATTGACGCTCACTAAAATTATAAAAATGAAAATGACTACTAATGCCTAATGTGAAGGAAAAGTTACAATAATGAGAACTCATGATCTGCTGATGGGTACGGTTTTATTTAACATAATAAGAGTTCCAAGTGAATGGTCCAGTTTTAGAAATGGCTTCTTCTACACAATCATTCAAGGATCAATGATTCTTTTATCACATTACTTGGTCATTTTTTAGGTATTGTCTATTTTTGCATGTTCTATCAGCTGGATTGCAGGCATGTCTGTGTCCCAGAGTATGGGAAGGGGAGAGAGAATACAGAAAGTATATATCAATTTTTTAAGGCCTAGACCAGAAAATGTCTTACCTCCTTTTCACGAGACTCCATTAGCAAGAACTGAGTCACACGGCCACAAATGACTGTGAGAAGGCTTATAAATGTCTTCTCCAGCCCTTTATTTTTTATGAAATAAGAAAGGAGCAGATAGTAATGAGCAATTCTATTTCTAGAGATTTGTTTCCAAATGTGGACCAGGAGTTGTTGTTCAAGAACAACATTCTTAGAACATAGAAGCATTGTTTTGTAACTAAAAAACCTGGAAATAATTCAATTACTTGTCAACAATAGACTGAATAAATGAATTGGGGTATACAATAAAGACTATATATAGCCATAAAAATAAGATAGTGTTATAAATCAGTATAGATTAATGCTGTAGCTATGCTAAAAGATAAGTCAAAAATATACACAGGATGATACCATTTGCATAAAATTAAAACGGGAAAAAATTGACAATATAATATTTAAGGATATCTATACAGATGATAAGCTGAAGACCAGTAAGATAATGAAACAACAGAAGTCAGGATAATGAGTCACTGTCTTTTGAGAGGAAGGAAGGAGGTGAGACTGGGAAAGGCACTCAGTACAGGCTTTCCCCTATTTCCTACTTGGAGGTGATGACATCAGAGTATTTCCTGCATTTTAAAATGTACAGATATGTTTGCTATAATTTTCTGTATATATATTGAACAACAAAACTTTTTCTAACAAAACAAATTTAAAAAGTAAAAAACTTTAAAAATCGTATATTTTCAGTATATAAGAAGCTACTTGTGACATGCAATTGGCAACACAAGTATCAAGACAACATAACTGTTGTTTTCCTACAGGATGAATTTGCAGTGGAAATTTCAGCTATTCTGGGCCCTACTTCGGTGAAGATATTTTGGGGATGTTGAAGAATGGGTGCTTCTTCCATCACATGATGCAGGCTCCTTCTTTCTGTCTTCCATCTTCTGGGTAAGTCAATTCATTCTGTGCCCACTTGCATGCAAATCATACAACAGTGAACAAATTTATTCAAGCATATGAAAACATTTCCGATTTTAAAAAGTAGCAAGCTACAGTGGACTGAATGTTCGTGTCCCCCAGATTTTACATGTTGGAATCCTAATTCCATACACAATGGGATTGTATTTGGAAGTGAGACTTTTGGGAGGTAATTAGGTCATGAAATGGAGCCCTCATGAATGAGGTTAGTGTCCATACAAAAGGGACCACAGAGTGCTCTCTTGCCCTCCTTTGCTATGTGAGGAAATAAGAAAAGGGCAGTCCACAATAGGAAGAAGGCTCTCCCCAGGACTCACCACACCAGCACCCTGATCTTGAACTCCCAGTCTCTACAACTATAACAAATATAATTTTTTTTCTTGACTTTAAGCCACCCAGTCTGTGGTACTTTGTCACAGCGGCTCAAACTGTGACAAAAACGTCTGTCAGTGTTCTCATCAATTCCTTCAATGCAGCAGAGTGATAAGAATATGGTTCTAGAATCAAGGTGGCTGGGTTAAGATCTTGGTTCTGCTCTGTCACCATAGACAACCTTCTTAAGATATCTAAGCCTCCATTTCTTCATCTATAAAACGATAATTTAAATAGTACCAACTCTACAGGGATATTGTAGGGAATAATATAATATATAATGATTTTACACGTGCCTATTTTATAGTAGGTGCTTTAAATGTTGTTAAAAAGTACAACAATAGAAATTCTTTTCAGTTAGCAGTTGGTTAATACCAAGATAGTAGAAATATCACATACTGCATGGCCAAATATAGTCTTAAATTTTGTGCAAAAGCTAGTTCTAACATGTGGTAGCCTTGGTATGTAATGGGTACTCGATAAATCTTAGCTCCCATTTACTTTAAGGTATTCAGAAACTTTGTCCTGTTTCTTTCAATATGTTATTACCTATGAGTCTAGTAATTAGAGTGAAAAGTTATAATTAGGACGTAGGCTAGAGAAAGTCAATATCTCTATGGTGTTGTGAGTTTTTGTCTTAAAATTTTTGCTGTCTTGGAGTTCAGACTTTTAAGTGGTCAATGATGTAAGATAAAATTATGCAAAATTAAATGGGATAACTATTTGTAAGTTTCTAGTACTGTAACAGCATGTTATAGGAACTTAGTACAGTTAACTTTTTTCCTCATTTGGAGTTGCTTTAGATACTGCATAAAACATTGTAAAATATATCCTTAATATATTTTTGTCTTTGGAGTTTGAGTCTGATTTTTGGAAATAGCTAAAAGCCACTCAGAGCCAAGTATGGTGAATAATGTGAGTGAACAAGTTGTATAATACCATTTTTGGTAAAAAATGAGGTATTATAAAATTAATGAGGCTTTTTCTTGTATGGTTTATAAACTGGCTCTGAAGGCAATTCTAAAAACATGTTCCACACATGGTTTAGGCAGTGACAGTATCTTTGGAATAATTTTAAAGACTGCTTTTTATCTTGTCAGGCCATGTTGACATCAGCCATATGCAGTACAGCTATATTAGTTATTAAAGTGTTGAAATAATTCTCTACTTATTAAAAGACTTTGTCTTGAATTCCCCTAAATATGATTCCTCCAACTGCACAGCTGCTTCAGCCTCTAGACTAGGTTAACCTGTGGTATGCAAGGGGTCTCTAACCCTGTTTTAATACTACAGCAGTATTGATTCTGATTGGGGTGTAGAGCTATTCAGTTTGCTAATTATTTTGAATGTCACTACTGCCTGTCATATTGTCTCACCAGCAGTTTTATTGCCTTGGCATTACTCATTTGGATGTTAAGCATGGGCAGCTTGAAAAACATCAACAACATTATCTTTCTGGGATGACTAGAACAGAAAATTAGTCGCTCTTCTCTGAAATACCTGATCATGGTAGAAATTCTGTTCTTAATCAGGTGCTACATGAAGCAAATTAAGACTTCATATACCTCACGTCAATAAACAAATGCTTTGTCACTGCAGGATAGACAGAAAATAAACCTGAATACTTCTAGAGTTATTTCCAACAACCTCATAATTGTTAAAGCATTCTAATTCCAGTGATAATTCCATGGGATTTCTAGGTATGATAAAAAAAAAAAAGTAGAATAAATTCCTTGATGCTTATAAGGCAGATAGTACAGATCAATCAAATCTAGAGATGTGGTTGGAAAAAAAATCTTTACAAATCCATTTAGACATTTATGGTCCATTTACTTTCACAATTTTCAGTTGTTCCCCATTGTACTCATTTCGTTGATATTTTTATTGGTCACAAAATGGTGATTGCTTTATTTTTGTCATAAAATCCCCACCTTACTGACAATTTTCGATTAGAGTTTCACTTAGCATTAATTGAAATTGCTAGCTATTGACATCATGTGATCGTACATTCAGGTTGCTGCAGCAGTTTACCTACAAAAATCCAAAAGAAGTCTTTTAATGACCTTAACACTGTATTATAAATGGCGAGTTCATGACTTTTTTTCCGTATGTTTTAATGCTGGAGGTGGGGCCTGATGGAATTGTTTATATCACTCAGTTCACATGAGATCTGGTTATTTAAAAGTGTGTGATACCTCATTCCCTCTCTCCTGCTCCTGTTCTTGCTATGTGATGTGCCTGCTCCCCCTTTGCCTTCCAGCATGATTGGAAGCTTCCTGAGGCCTCAAAGAAGCAGATGCTGCTATGCTTCCTGTATAGCCGGCAGAACTGTAAGTCAATTAAACCTTTTTTCTTATAAATTACCCGGTCTCAGGTATTTCTTCATAGCAGTGCAAGAATAGCCTACTACAGTGAATAAGGGAACTATCTGGGTATAGAAATGACATTCCTGAAATAGTTTCATCAGTTAAAATTTTGGAACTCTTGGCTGCAGGGCCTGTGGTAGCCATGCCAAGAGTGGGGTTTAAAGCAGTCAAGGGCCCCATCCCTCCCCACTTAATTTTTAACTTGTGAGAACTAGATGGCAAACAATATGCACAGGTTTGGGGTCTCTTTTTTTAAGATCTCTCTCATTTTAAGAAAAAGAGACACTTTACAAGCTAAGGAATGAAACAGTGTGACAAAAATGCCCAAGTCCAGACTGATTCTTTCCCACAATGCTGTGTTTGAAATAGCTGGTGTAGACTAATATAACACGGAGAAATAAATGGAAACAGAAAGATTATTTTATGTATATCGCCATAAAGGCAATAAATAAATACTTTGCTTGGCTTAGCATCTTTGTTACAAAGTCATGGAGCCCAGGCAATAATATGGTTCTCAACACAGCAGCATGCGGAAGTACTGTGAAGCATTATGCAACTTTGCTGGTTTCTTCTCTGGGATACAAATTTCTTGTTTATTTTAACAGGTAATGGTTTCATTACTGAAAAAAGAATCAAAGCAGAATTATATTAGTTATTTATTGCTCTGTAACAAATTACCCCAATACTTAGTGTGCTTAAAACAAAAGTAAACATTTGTTATCTCCCTGGGGGCCACAGTTTGAGGGTGGCTCAGCCGTACTGTTCTGACCCAGGGATTCTCATGAGACTGAGTCAACACGTTGGCTGGGACTACCCTCAGATGGAGGCTGGGCCTGGAAGATTTGCTTCCAAGACGGCTCACTTACATGCCTGGCAAGTTGGTGGTGCTTGTTGGCAGAGGCCTCAGTTTTTCCCTGTGCTGGCCTCTCTTTTGTGCAGCTTGACTTTCCTTGTGACATGGCTGCTGGTTTTGTTCAGAGTGAGCAAACCCAGAGAGGAGAGATGGTAGAAGCCATGATTTTTATAACTTTGCCTCAGAAGTCACATTCTGTTACTTCTTCAATATTCTATTGCCAAACAGATCAGTCTTATCACTCATTGTGGGAGGGAACTATGTAAGGACATGAATACCAAGAAAAGATTACAGCCCAGTGCGGTGGCTTGAGCCTGTAATCCCACCACTTCAGGACGCCAAGACATTAGGATTGCTTATATCCAGGAGTTCTGGAACAGCCTGGGAAACATAGCAAGATCTCTTCTCTACAAATGACGTGTGCCAGTAATCCCAGCTACTCGGGAAAGTGAGGTGGGACTATGTGTGCATGTAGTCCCAGCTACCCAGGAGGTCTAGGCTGCAGTAAGCTGTGAATCATGTCACTGTACTCCAGCCTGGGCAACAGAGTGAGACTCCGTCTCAAAAGAAGAAAAAAATATATATATAATTTTGGGAATCATCTTGGAGGCCAGCTACCACAAATATGAAAAACTTCAATGTAAATAGCATGCACTCAAGGGCTGAACAATGGTTATATTTTGTCTTCAGTTCTCCATCTTCCTTATAGACTTCATTAATATTGTATCTACTAACATGACCTCATTTAATTCCCACCACAAAGAACTGTAAGCAAGACAGATTATTGATCTCATTTTCACATGAACAGATGGAGGCTTAGAGTGATAGGTAACTTATACATACTAGATTACACATCTAATAAGTGATTGAATTAGGAGTCCAATTCACTGCCACTCATTGATTTCTATTTAACACAATGCAATAAAAGACAAATAAATTGGCAGACTGCCACTATTTAAGTAATAAAGTATACATAGAAAATGAGGTGGAGTTAGAGGGTTTATGCTCATGTCTTAGATACTACTCAGATCTTGCTTGAATTTCTCTCAAAATTAACAACTCTAGCTGTTAACACCTGAGCTAGACTAGTTTCCAATGTCTAAGCAGTAGCTTTGTTTGCTATAAACTTGATTTTGCCCAGTTCTTATCATCTTGGATACCAAGACACTCACTTAATTTAAGTTTATGAACAATTGATAGATGTATCAAAATTCTAGGTAATTTACTTATATATGAAATATAATTATCAGGCCAATTAGGTATTTGCTTTGATCTAACTAGCACATTCTGCCTCTCTGTAGGAAATTATTTAGTTAATTCTGTCAGCTGGTATAATCTAGATGATGCTACTGTGACAATCCCCAAATTTCCTGAAAAAGACTGATTTCTTGCTTATGTATGTTTAACCCTTATCATCAGGGTAGCCTCCTCATTGTAGTAT